CCGCACTTATAAGCTGTCCCAAACGGGCCCTAAGTGGGTCGAGATGGTTAGACCTCAACTCATTAACGAACTCATTATTCATTATGATCGAAGCTCAAAATATGCAAGTTGAGCTCGAGTTCGGTGAAGATTGAGTCCAAGTTTGAGCTAACCAACAAAGAATGAGTTTAGCTATATTAAGCCAATACTTGACTTGACTGTACTCATTTAAACTCTAAGTTAAATAATTTCATGCATGAAAGTTCAAAAAAGAGAGTAATTGACTTTGTAGTTGATTTCTTTTATTTGTAAAATAAATTGATATCCATTGGTTTTGATTTAAATATAAGAAAATGTTTTACCTATGCATGAAATCTATATTATAATATGAATTTCATACTAAAATCTATTTATTTTATTCACATGTAAGTCAATTTATCATAACAAAATATTTTTATTATATAAAACATTTTATTTTGTTGTCAGTTTTAACATTAATTATAGTTTTTTTTTTTTTATAAGAAATGGATAAGTTTTAGAAAATTAAAACAAAAAAAAGGTCTTGAATACAAATATTTTGTACATGTTGAGAAATTAGGGCGAAGAAAAACAGGAATCAAAACAAATCCAGAAGAATACAGAAATTTAACGAGGTTCGACAAAGATGTCTACACCCTCAGGAGCAGAGAGACGACTCCCTTATCAATATTCATAAAATAGTACAGAATACACGGTTCAGTTCACCTAGGATTATAAACATGATATATATATAACCCTATAGTACAATGTAATTACTTAAATTACTCATGTACCCAATCGCGGGATGTTGTCCTCTATAATAAAACTCACTCGATTGGACAGATCTTTCCGCTCCACTCCGCTCGTGGGCTCCGCTCCGCTCCAGCATCTGTCCCATTTATGATATATGAGTCATACCTAATAGTACATACAAAATATACATTTACAACTACATCTACAGTCTCAAAGATATCATGACTCTTTGGATCTTAAAATGTTTTATTATTAGATATGTTAAATGGAATCAGTATGGGGAAGACATATTTCTGTTAGTGAAAGTGCAAAGAATGAATCATTTAGTGTTGTAACTGATCAAGAGCAAATTCCGGTTCAAATAGAGCAACCAAACATTAATGACATGGAAGGATTACTGAGAGATACATTTGGATCAAATGATGTTACAATGAATCCAAAAGTTGGTCATGGAAATCATAGTATTGATTCTCCAAAGGATATTGACAAAATCTCAATGCTAGTAAAAGACGTACGGAAGGACAACATTATAACTTTGGCGAGTCATTCTCAAAATTTTATTTTATACTACAATTATACTATTTAAATTGTCTTTATGCTTGTATTGTAAGATCTTTTAATATGTTATTGAAATTATTGTCCTTTGCTTTTGTTATTTTGAGCCTCAATTATTAAATTAAGGTAAAATGACACTTTTGTAATGTGGTACCGCTCACCTACCACATCTCACCTACCGCTCACCTAGCTCCCACCTACCACTCTCTTGCTTCTATAAATAGAGAGAGTGTGAGGCTTAGGAGAGCAAGAGAAGAGATCTTAAGCTGTCACAAAGGAGGAGAGAATAGCTAGAGAGCTAGAGAGGAGGAGAGCATCTTGAGGCCTTTTATCAAGGTGTCGCTTGAGAGGGAGACCATAGAAGAAAGATGATGACTCATCTATATGTATAAGTTATGTATTATCCATTTCTTTTGTCTTAGTGAACTATTTGATTGATTCCCTCCCGTGGACGTAGATCCAGTTGGATCGAACCACACAAACGATCTGTGTTGCTTCTATTCTTTGCGTTTCATTTCAATGCCAGGAAGTACATATCTCACAACAACTTTCCCCCAAAAAGTGTCATAGATGTGGTTCATTATTTTGGACTCAAAACAACATGCCATAGAAGGAAAGAGAGCTAAGAAGAAAACAACTAAGATTATTCAATATTTGTTTTCATACCTAGATTATAATGATTCTTAAAAAATTTTAAAAAAAAAGTGTTGAAAAGATGATATAGCATTCAAAACATGATAATAGAAATGGTTTACTACGTCATCCTCCTCAGTGAAACATGAAAGTCATTCAATCAACTTCAATTACTTCAAACTTACGTGTAATACATATAATATTTGGGATGAAATAGATCTCTTTCATTTTATCTATAAAAGAGTCCAAATTAATTAAAGAGACACATGAATTATGATAAAGAGTTCATTACTATGGTGTTGCTTGCAAGTAAGAAATGTTTTAAAATACATGCAACATTATTGTGTATTATCATTGACTTTTCTGAGCATGATATGTTAGTTGGGTGGGGTATAAAAAAAAGGACTTGTTTGCTCATATTGGGGCTTCAATTTTTTTGAGATATGTTGGAATTAGTACATTAACTTCTCCAAAACTTTCATTTGCTTGACATTGTGGCACTTTGGTCATGGGAAAACTTCTCATTGGTCTTTATACAAATGTAGTTTTTTTTTATCTTCTTTCTTCTCATATTGTCTATTATTTATAGGATGTGGGTGGAGCAGGAAGGAATGTAATGGGATGATTGTGGTGTTGACCAGGACTACATGACTCAACTTGTCATTAATAAAGGATGGAAATACAAGATTGGAGTTAATAAAAATGATAATCGCTTGTGTTGGACCTCTCCTTAGATTTTATGTTTTGTTTTTTGCTCAAAATATGTAATTGGGTCTAATTTTGTGTTAGCTCCACCTCTGAGATAGCATTGGACTTTTTTGCAAACTCATTTTTCAATTTATAAATATTTCTATTGTGATTAACAAAAAGGAAGCTTTGCATGCATACCAATCAATCCTTATGCATTTACATAACCAAAAACCTAAACTTCAAATTTACAACCAAATTTACAACACACACACACACATATATATATTATTTTACCTACGCATGAAAAAATACATTTTACCTCTTAGAAATTAAAATAATGACATTCGTTTATGTGATATGAAATATTTGGATGGGATAAATTTAAAAACAAAATATAGATTTTAGATATGTAAATAAATAAGGATTGGTTGGTATCTATGTAAATGTCCGAAAAGGAAGGATTGATTTTTCTAATATTGACTATTGTTGCATGTCATAAAATTCACGGCGATAGAGTATTTATCGTCTAAGCTTTATAAGAAAGAATACCGTGAAAAGGGGAAAAATACAACGCACCAGAATATTTACGGGAAAAAAAACCGTTAAGGAAAAAAAAACCATGAGG